TGGCCGCGAGGTAATGAACAAAGCACAGAGTTCATATGGATAGATTCAATCTCAAGAAATTAAATGAGTTAGAGGGTAAAGAGCAATATTATGTTGAAATCTCAAATAGGTTTGCGGCTTTGGGAAACTTGAACACTGAGGTGGACGTTGATGTAGCTTGGGAAACTATTAGAGAGAATATAAACATTTCTGCCAAGGAGAGCCTAGGTAATTATGAACTGAAGAAGCATAAGCCGTGGTTCGATGAAGGATGGTCAAAATTATTAGATCAAAGAAACAAGCCAAACTGCAGTGGTTACAGGATTCAAGCGAAATACATAGGGATAAGCTGAACAATATAAGACGTGAAACCAGCAGGCATTTCAGGAATAAAAAGAGAGAATATCTGAAACACAAAATTGATGATCTTGCAATGAACAGTAAGAACAAGTACACCAGAGACCTGTATAGAGGAATAAATGATTTTAAGAGTGGTTACCAACCTAGAAGTAACTTAGTGAAGGATGAGAATGGTGATCTGCTTGGTCTAGAAGTAAACACAGAGAAAACTAAGTACTATTACTGTCTCGTCACCAAAATACAGGGCGAGATCATGACATAAAGCAAGGAAACAAATGTTTTGAAAATGTGGCACAGTTCAGATATTTGGGAACAACGATAACCGATCGAAACCTGATTCAGGAGGAAATTAAGAGGCGATTGAATTCGGGTAATGCTTGCAACCGTTCAGTCCAGAAGATTTTCTTCTCGTCTGCTGTCCAGGAACATAAGGATTAGAATATATAAAACTATAATTTTGCCTGTGGTTCTGTATGGGTGTGAAACTGGGTCTCTGACATTAAGAGAGGAAGATTGACTGAGGGTATTTGAGGAGAATATTTGGACCGAAGAGGGTTTAAGTGACAGGAGGTTGGAGAAAACTGCATAATGAGGAGTTGTACTCTTCTCCAAGTATAATTAGAATTATAAAGTCAAGGAGGATGAGGTGTGCAGGGCATGTAGCACGAATAAGGGAGAAGAGGAATGCATATAGGATATTGGTGGGAGAGCCAGAAGGAAAGAGAATAGTGGGAAGAACAAGGCGTAGGTTGGTGGACAATATTAAAATGGTTCGTAGAGAGATATGATGGGATGGTATAGATTGGATTGATCTGGCTCAGGATAGGGACCAAGAGAGTGTTCTTGTGAATACGGCAATGAACCCTCGGGTTCCATTAAATGCTGGGAAATTCTTGAGTAGCTGCAGATTTGGCTTCACCTCAAAAAGGGCTCAGCTCCATAAGTAAGTACAGAGCTTTTGTTATTGAATAAGGCAGTACTGTGCTGTAAGTAATTACCTATTTACAAGTATTGTGTTCCTGGTCATTGTCCATTATCCCGTTTTTATTTAAAACACACATCATTTTGGAGACTAGATTCTGTCTCTGTAATCAGGTGGCACCTACTAAGTTTAACCCAATCGATATAGCTAGTCCCTACCTCCGGACACCAATTCTATCTATTGGGTCCAACTGAGTAGGTTCCACCCGCAGACGGAGACAGAATGCAGTCTCCGAAACGTTGTGTGTTATAAATAGAAACGGGTCGATGGATAATGTCCAGAAACAACAATTGTATCAATGTACCACTGTCACAAAGTTTAAGTATGAATTATGGATTTGCTTAGAAGGTTGTGGGCCAGAAGGCGGTTCTACTGAGCCCACTTCTAATATCGCGGACCGTCATTGTTACCTGTCGGCTGCTCCGTGTTCCAGGTCAACTGTCATCCGAATAAACATCGGAATTCCAACACCTAACTGTTCAAATGTATTACACGGGCATTGGCAGCAGTGGCTGACGCTTCGGTGTGGCTGGCACTGCGCCGCCAGGCCGCTCAGACTGGAAGGAGGTTAACACAGAAATGTTTTATCTTTGCTATTTAATGAAAGATCTGGTGCTTTGCATTGTTTATCTTATACATCATGCGATTGCGGAGTTCACATGATTGAGGTTAACGAAGCGGATAGGTTTTCCGCTCGACCAGAGGCCCAAAAATTGAGCTTTCGCGCATGCGTCAGTATGAAGAAGAGAGATAATTCTGTTGGTTCAAGTAGCCGGCAGGAATGTGCGAGCTGCTAGGAAAATGTTGTCCTGGTAATGTTGGGGAGGGGATTGGAGGGGAAGGGGGGACAACACGGTCTATTACTACCAAACCTGCAAACATGACTCAAAATGACAGCCATTCAGCAAGTCTGCAGCCACTTGCAAGGGCAGTTTGATGTTATGCGCTCCACCTGTTCCTACCACTCTCCAATAAAGTACTGTCCGTGTTTCTAGACGTGGCCACTCTCAGTAGAATGTGCAGTAGATTTTGCCAAGTCCACTGACGGCGATAAGGACTAAAGTGCGTTTGGGTTGCAGTAGGGCTTTGTTTATACAGGGTGTTTCACGACTTTAGGACATAACTGCAGGAGGTGATTTCCTAGGTCTTTGTGATCAAAAAAGTTCATATAAACATGTGTCCGATTTTGAACGGTTACGGAGTTACGACCGTTTTTTCATTCCCGTACACGCCCTCGTGTGAACCGCGTCTGTCATCTGGCAAGTCACTATTTTTAGCCAGCTACAGACAGAGCGTTCTCGTTATCTCGACACTTGAGAGGTACCTAAGGCGTGGTGAGTTGGTATGTCCGGCTACGGCTAGTGTGGCGGCTACTGGTGTTCAGAACAGTTCTCATCTCGGTACGTCTGTTACGTTCACGATGCCATTTACATTTTCATTTGAGGAGTATGCCTTTCTTGCTAAGGCACTTCGCACTCTGTATAGTTCGTCGGGAAGCAGATGGCAATGGGACTCCCCCTCCCCATGACCGCACAGTAAGTTGTACCTACACCTCCGATCCGCTGGACAGCGCCCCACAACCCGTGAATGTGTCACCAAATTCTTCGCAGTTGGTTTATATATTGTTCACACACACATTTTAGTAAAAATAAAGTTATTGATTTTGTGTAGGTGTGGTACTTTGTCTCTCATGTTAATACAGGGTGTCCACATGAAGATATCCAAAATTAAAGAACAGTATCTCGGAAACTGATTGTCATGTACGTATCCGGTTTATGTCATCGGAAGGAAAAACCCTGAAAGTTTTTTTACATACCCGGCTTATGCGCATGCGCCAGCTGGTGATCTTCGGCGAGCTCCGTAACGATGTCGACACCACAGGGACGGGTTCAATACGTGTTGTGACTAGCAGAGCTGCAATCTCTTACGGCTGTCCAGCGTCGTTTTAGGTCGCAATATGGACATCAACCTCCTGCGCGGAAAAGCATTCGGTTATGGGACAACAAACTGAGGACTACATGTAGTCTGTTGCGTGTAAAATCTCCTGGAAAGGCACGGACCTATAAAGAAAATGCCAATCGCATTAGAGAGGCATTCCGGCAAAGTCCGCGCAAATCAATTCGTGCTGCTGTTTCCTTACAGCAGCTTCGATATATGTCTGGGAACACATTCTCACTTTGTGAGGAAACGTAGAAGCAGATTGTTAACACTTCGAGACATGTTGGCTGCCACAGCAGGTCTGTTTGAGAGAAACGCAGTGTCAGCTTCTGGTCTCCTTGCTCGTACACCACTGGATACACTTTCATAATTTGTACTGTTATTATTGAGAGCATTTTGGGAGGAGATTGGAAGGAGACGGGATGGCGCCATTTTGCACCATCATCTTATTCTTCAGAACGAATGAATAAGTTGCCTCTATTCGGGTCACTGGCTGCAAGGTTACAGATCTGGTTTGCACGCTGTAGTTTTTAGTTGGACATTATATTGTCACGTGTCACACAGTGACTAAAGTCGGAGTTCGCATTGGTAATTGGGTTTATCAACAACCTACAAGTCGTAACTATAATTAATTATTACACTATTGTTACTTTACATAATTTACAATCACGTCACACTAATATCTTCAGTCTATCTGCACTAGTTTTCACGGATTTATCGCATGGGAACTATAACAGTCTCACTGATTACACACTCCGAATATTAAACATGAATAAAATCTTCTAATCATAAGTTAAATCCTCACAGCCCGACTTCTTATACTCTTCTGTACTCCTAGTTCCAATTCGCTCTAAACTTACAGCTCATGGCTCTCGTTATATAGCCGCGGAACGGGTATGGACCTACAGTAAATACATATCACGTGATCGCTATCCAGCCAGTCTATTGGCGCGTCTGCCGGATCTACAGAAAACATGACGTGATCACTGTTCACTGTTGTGACGTCACCGCGGACACGGAAACAGCTTCTTCTACTGTTGCGTGTTGGACCGTGTTTACAGAGCTGTTGCCTGTGCAACGCGTTGATCAAATCTGTTACAATATGTAGTTAACAATTTTAGTAACATAATTATACAATATTTAATCAGTTTTGAGACATCGAGTTCTTCTTCTGTTTCCTGTCCTCTTGGAAACCATTCCTTCCACTGGAATGAGTAGGAGGTGTCCACAGCTGTGGGATAGGGGTGAGGACGGGCATTAACTCCTAGTGGCACAACAACACTCCATCCGTGGTCACCCGTATTCGTGACAATATTAAAGGAAATGTTTATTGTAACATCCTGTAAGTCGTATAGCTTGGACAGTGTGCCACGAAAAGAAGATACCAGAGTAGATATGATGTCATTTAATGTCCTTCGCTGGTGAGTAAGCCCTCTTCCTGTTCCAATTTCGTGTTCGTCAGGCCACGGGTTTCAGCCTGAGCCGATAGATCTGTTTTCTTGACGGAAGGTTGTCGTGGCTTTCCTTTGTCCCTCCAGCAAATGCCTTGGTGGTACCTCAAAACAGATCACACCGTTTCCTTCCATGTCCTTCCCAATCCCGTATTTACTAATCGGAGCTGCATACAGAATCGCTAATTAAACTGCCAATGGTCACACAAAGGTTTTGGCTCAGATGAGAACTGATGAAATGAGCCTCATTTTGCGTTTCGTCTCATTTTCATTGGTGCGTTTGATTTCAGACGTGTCCTGAACGAAATGGCGTCTTGGTGCACGACATAGCAAGGGCTTCTCGTGGATACGTAAGTAAAGCGATTTGCTTCTGTTTCCTAACTGTTAAGATTCACCCATCTGACTAACCCCACGGAGCTGAATTTTTCTTGAGAAGCAGCCAATCGCTAAGCTACTCAAAAATTTCCAAACATTTAGTGGAAACCCAAGGTACGTTACCGTGTTACAACAGACTGTCATTGATCCCTATTCTGAGCCAGCTAAATCCAGTCCATACCACCCAATCCTATTTCCATAAGATCCATTTTAATATAATCCTCCCGCTTAGGTCTAGGTCTTCCTAGTGGCCTTCCACCAGCCAGCTTTCCCACCAAAATTCTATATGCATTCCTCTTTCCTCCATACATGCTACATGTCCCGATCATTCTAATTACATTTGGCGAAGAAAATTATGAAGCTCCTAATTATGCAGTTTTCTCCACTCACCTATTATTTCATCCCTCCTCGGTTTCAGTACCCTTCTCAGCATCATGTTCTCAAATACCATCAGTGTATATTTTCCCCTTAATATCAGAGGCCAAGTTTCCAACCCATACAAAACTATAGGCAAAGTTATTGTTTTCGTGTATTGTAATTTTTTTTAAGTTTTTAGACGGTACATGAGAAGACAAAAGGATCTGAACTGAGTGGTAGCGGGCATCACCCGAACTAAAACTGCTCTTGATTTCCTCATGAATAAACTTCATATTTCTTACTGTCGTTCGCAAATAAATGAACTTTGTTACGTTTTCAAATTATCAGTTAGCTGTCTTTATGTTATGATATTGCTCTGTATTGTGGTGACGAGACAGCCTCGAGATACGAGTAAACCTTCTTACTAGGATCAGTTATAGTTCATTTGTTTTTCTTTATGGTATTTATTTTCTTCCAGTAGATATAAAGTAAAACAGTATTATAGACTAGAAAGTAGCCCATATGTCCTTCTTGCTCTGAGTCCCGTCTTGTTCTTCTGGACGTTCCTAATGGCGTACTCTAAAGTAAAGTTGAGAAGGAATGGCAAAATAAAGCATCTCCTTATTTTAGGCCATTTTGAATAAGAAACACATCAGACAAATATTTACCCGTTACTTACTTACTCATGGAACTGAGCCCTTCTGGAGGATCCTCCAATGCTGCAGCTCTCAAGAATTTCCCAGCATTTTATGGAACCCGAAAGTTCATTACCGTGTTCACAAGAGCCCTCCACTGGTCCCTATCCTGAGCCAGATCAATCCAATCCATACCATCCCATCCTATATCTCTAAGATCCATTTTAATATTGTCCACCCACCTACGCCTTGGTTTTCCCGGTGGCCTCTTTCCTTCTGGCTTTCCCACCAATATCCTATACGCATTCCGCGTCTCCCCCATTCGTGCTACATGCCATGCTCACCTCATCCTCCTTGACTTGATCATTCTAATTATACTTGGAGAAGGGTACAAGTTATGAAGCTCCTCATTATGCAGTTTTCTCCAACCTCCTGTGACTTCATCTCTCTCCAGTCGAAACATTCTCCTGAACACCCTCAGTCTATGTTTCTCCCTTAATGTCAGAGACCAAGTTTCACACCCATACAGAACCACAGACAAAATTATAGTTCTGTATATTCTAATTTTTATGTTTTTGGACAACAGACGGGAAGACAAAAGGTTCTGGACTGAATGGTAGCAAGCATTACCCGAGTTCAATCTCCTCTTAATTTCGTCATGAATCAGGTTTCGGTCTGTTATCGTTGTTCCCAAATATCTGAACTGTGCCTCATTTTCAAAACATCTGTTTCTTATCTTTATGTCATGGTTTTACCCTGCATTTTGGTGGCGAGACAGCAACATATACTTAGTTTCCTCTGTGTTTACTTGTAGACCAACCACTTTACTTGCGTCAATTAAACAAATATTTACCCATAGCGATAATATTTGCCAACTTAACGGAAGAAACCCTTTTTGTCAGTGAAGACTCTCCGAAGAATTCATCATCCACCTCTCTGTGATCTTACTTCTTACATTACAGATACGCGGTCTATTTCTTGCTCATTTTGGGCTTAAGGAGCGCAAGAGGCGTAACTTGGCTAATTAAAATCATGTCAGAGGTTTCCAACTAAAAGTTTTGCTAACTTCATTAACTCCAGTGAGTAAATAAATGTAAGCAATGAATGTTCGCCGTATTTCTAACGTCTGTTCAGTTATCTAAGAAATCTTAACGTTTCAAGAAGGATTTGTTAGTCTTAAAACTGTGCTTCCTGTTCCTTTAGAACTTTTTCGTTCGACACATGTTTCACACTGATAAAACTTACAAAGTTAATAAGTTCTAAAAGTTTGTGACGATGGTATATTAATACAATTATGTGTTTCTGGACACTTATTTAAATCACAAAATTTCGGAGACTGGGTTCTGTCTCCGGCCGGTCACGGTAGCCGAGCGGTCTAAGGCATGCACTGTCTTCGCTCGCTCGGAAGCCGGGATCGTGGGTTGGAATCCCACTCAGGGCATGCATGTTTAGTTTGTGTGTGTGCGTTTTTCTGTATTTGTGTACAGGTAGAGGCCTTGCGACGAGCTGATCACCCGCCCAAGGAGTCCTACCGTATATGTAAGATCTAGAAAAGCCGAAGTGAACGGAGTTCATGGAGGTAGGCCTAGGCCCACTGGGGCTGTAGTGCCAAGGGGGTGGGGGGGGGGTCTGTCTCCATCTTCAGGTGGAACCTACTCAGGTGAACCCAATCGGTAGTTACTCCCCATCTCTGGGCCGAACTGAATAGGTTCCACCCAAAACTGAGAGCGAATCAACTCTCCGAAACGCTGTGTGTTTCAAATAAAAACAGGACGGTGGATAATGTACAGAAAGACAATAATTTTATTAGCTAGTCAAGGTCGATGTGCGCTTTGAAACATAAGGAAGTCCTCTTGTGGTGTCCTTCATTGCTCCAGCTGAAGTTGTATTGACATTCAGTTTAAGCAAAGCTCGTAAATATCAGGACTACCCATAGCGCTCCTTTCGAATTGCTGCAGGTGAACATGTAGGAGGGAGAGACAGTACATGAGTCACAAATGGAAGTAAAACAGCTGTAATGGATGTAATAGGTTTTCTATGTGTATCATTAGGTAGTAGCACAGTCGAGATCCATGACAGCCTGGGTAGCCGAGGCGCATGCTAATATTCAGAGGCTGGGTTCAGTAGTCAAAATGGCGACCGTGCTTGAGGATTGTACTGCAGAAGAGCAGCATTCTATTTTGCATTTTAGTGGGCAAAGGACTCAATGCAAAGGATATTTATAAAAAAATGTTTCCTGATTACGGTGGGAAATGTTTTTCGCGTAAAGCGCTTCACAGTAGGGGCGAGGAACATGGCAAAATTTCGGCTGACGATGAAGAGTTTGAAATTGAGGTGCGGAAGTGGCTGAGACAACAGTCAAATGACTTCTGTGCCGCGGGTTTCGACGCACTGGTAAAACGATGAGACAAATGTAACGATGTTGGTGGAGGATATGTCGAGAAGTAAGTTTTCTTTTCGGTACCGAATATCGCATGTTTTACGAAATTGTCACTTGTAGCGTTGTACGCTCGACGAGAAGGACAGGTTCCAGTTCAGATGATTGGATTTATTGGCACCTTGGTTACAACCTCTCTTAATCACACCTAAATTACAGCGCTATCGTTGGTTCCACACTTTATAATTCACCATTAAAACACAGAAACAGGCACTTCAGATCACTCCAGATATTACACATGAATAAAGTCTTTACATGATGCACTTTCCGTGGCTATCTTTCACCGAGAACTCAACTGAACTCAAGTCAATGTCAAAGTCAAAGTCACATTGCGACTGACGGTCAGTCAGTCAGTCAGTAAGTGTTGGTGTCAAGCCCCATCTGGTGCTCATGACCAAGTATATATTACTGTTTGACAGTTACGGTCTTGTTTTTGTGGGGCGCCCTCTCTGACGAGAGGACGGGTCTGTCTTTTGTGTATGCTGCTGGCCCTTTCCAGCGCAGTCTTTCTCGGGTCCGAGTTCCTAGGGACTCGCGACAATATTTTACTCTCTCAGATTTCAGACTTCCCTTTAAACAACCTCTATTATTGTAGAGGAATATTTACCGCGACGTTGCATAGTAACGGTCGCGGCACGGACTCCATAGAAAGCCAGTCACGTGATAGCTATCTCACCAACCCATTGGCGCTCTGACTGCTGCCTAGCAACAAAGTATAAACATCCATTCTACTGTTGAGTGCGCTTACGCGACTAAAGGTTGTTTACAGGTCGTTGACTAGAAACGCTCCGGCCATCCACGTTACAATATGTATGCCAGAAGATAGACAGGCGCGGGGAACCGTATAGATTCCTTTCTGGAATATTTTAATTTCGAAAACGGCAAAAGCAAATATAAACCTCATGGATAAAATAATACACATAGACCGAGTTGAAGTGTGTGATTATAAGCGAATTTGTATAACATTACTGTAACAATTGTCGTTTGTCTTCTCTCTTCCATCGAAGCACACGGACTTCGCCTTTCATTCGGATGCCGTATCATCTGAGAAGGTTATGTAGCTTCGGTTGCGATGTCGCAGTTTGTAATTGGGATAAATCGGGAAGGAGCTAGCTATGACGTGCATTCAGTTGTTTTCTGTGACTTGTGTTTGAGGTATTCGTGCCTCGGGGCTGGGGGCAGCAGGTGTCCCCGAAACGTTGTAACTCATCTGCCAAAATACATGACGTCATATGTAAGAAGTACGTCATCTTGACCTCTGTTGATTGCGAGCGGAACGGAAGGATTAGGCCTGTTAGTCAACCGACGTTTGTCAGGGGAAAATTACAATGCACTGCCTCTATATTGGTCGCAATTGATGTGTTCTGTGAAGGAAAACAAAATGGAGTATCTTACGCAGACGTTGATAATTTGTGTCTATGAAAGCAGGATAAGAGAGAAGAAGAAGGAAAGTGGGTGTGGTCCAAATTCAAAGAATAAGAATATGTATGGTACGCTATTACGGATATGTGCAGGGGTGGCGAGAGTACCAATTATGTACAGACAG